TTATGGTGATCCTCCAACAAACCTCTCACTCCAGTCCTGGCTTCTCCTCAGTCCCATCCTCAGCTTTAGCCTCTCTCATACATTGTCTTCTGTCTACTTACTTAAATTTCAGATTTAAGTCAAAACTTAGCCCCTTACGGATCTTTCATGTTTTCTCCATCTCTTATGGCACTGAGGTCAACATCCACATCAGTACTGAAATCCACAGAGCTGAGTCACACTAATGCTCTTGATCCCTTTATTCAAGCCACAACCAAACTACCTCTTGTTCTGTGCCTGCTTCCTACTCCCACCGCAACATCCTTTTCTCTCTTTCGATAGCAAGTGTCCCTCATTTTCACTGCTAACAGGTGACCAATTTGGAAATAACTCCTGTTTATTATATCCAGCACATAAGGGTTTATTTTTTCCCATCTGTGGTCTGTCTTTTCTCCACCAGCTTTGAATTACAGAAAATTTCTTGAGGCTTAGGATTGGGTTGTGTTTGTTGGTTGTTTTTTTTTTCCTCCCAAAAGCAGCACTAATCAACCTGAAGGAAAAAAATACAGGTATCACTACAAATAAATTTGTAACAGCTACCGCCTACCTTGAGACAACTAAGGATGCCATCACATGGTTATAGTGCTGCTCAAGAACGCCAGCACAGACACAGCCCCACAGAAAGCAGTTAATGGGAGTACATCTATGCTCCCACTCATCTTCAACTGGTTTACACCCCTAGCTGCTCCAGAAACAACTGTTTCAGAATTTATAATTAATGAAGAACTGCAATGGAAGGAATATTTATATATATTAATGTACTCTGTTTCATTTTAGCTCCCCTTTATATATAGGGATCAACCAGGCATTCCTTGCACTATAAGCTCCCAGTGAATCCACACGAGCTTTGCCTCCAACCATTGGATTGCCCTCAGGTATGGGGCTGTCAAACACAGCAAAAGAGAGGAGAGAGAGACGAGGGAAGAAGACTCTGAGCAATTCAGTCCTTTGTGCATTATTGCTAGTTTAAAAAATACTGGCTTGCAGGGGGAGCAGGAAATTTGATTTGACATAAAACGCAACCTTTCCTACTTTTAACCCAACACATTTTATGTAGCAGTAGCAGGAACCTGATGAAGAAGCTACCTCTTGCTTTCTTCCAGGTCTTCTTGCCACAGATTTAGGGATTTCTCCTTGAAAAACCAATGTGACAATGTATTCTAGCAATCCTGTTGGAGTTGCCGAGATCTACTGTAAGTAGCTCAGCACAGGAACGCAGCGAGGAAGGAGAACAAAACCAAACACAGGCCTGGTCAGGGACCCTTTGAGCATTAAAACTAGCAAATAGGAGGATGCACTCCCACTAGACAGATGTGATTTTGTAAAATGACTCAAAATGTCATGCACGGTCTGACGCGTCGAGTGTGACAAAGGGAGACGTGCGCTCCAGGACGTGCGGTACTAAGAGGTGGCAACACGTTTACAGGGATTACCATGAAACGTGCACGATGTCAACGCCTGGAAAAGCCTCCAGTGACAGATTTTTAACTGCACTATAGCAGAACACTTTTTTTTGCACCAACAGAAGATGCTCTTTTCCAAAGAATAATTTCCTTAACTAGTTGTTTTCATGTAAGTGGAGTCTTCCATAGGATGGGAGCAGCTATTTATGCTAATGCTTTTCACTAAGGACACTAAGTGGGTTTGAAATACGAAACTGAAAACTGTTTTGGCTTTCTAATTTTCTTTCCGTTTTGCAGTACATACCAATTTATTCATAGCATTTCTGACAGAAGAAATTTCAAGAATGCAAACAGCGCGATGGCAACGTAGTAGCTGATTAGCTCCGTGGAAAAAGTTTCTCTGAGTTTGACTTTGGGTCAGCGTACAACATTCAGAATACAAAAACACTCTGGCAAGGAATGTCTGTCTTTCGCTTTAGCTATAATAAAAAAGATCTTCTACACTTTAGCTATAATAAACCGCACGAAAACCAGAGAGAGTGAGAGAGAAAGAGAGAGAGATGGCTGATACACTGAGAATCTGCAGCGTAGATAATCAAACCCTTTATTGTCTAAGTTACATTAGACTTGCAACACCATAAAAACCTGTTAGGAAGAAGAAACAGTAGATTGGTAGAGGTAGTAGAAAGTCCCTGTAACAGTCATAAAAGGGCTTTACAGGAGTGTGTCATGCCAAAAAAAAGTTACCACGTTGCTTAAAAGAGCTGATCAAAGCCCACTGACTAAATAAATAAGGAACACAACTCATTTTAAATACTATGGCCTAACTAAAATAACAAATCAATACAATACAATGATAAAGAAGAAAACAGAAATCGTGGGATTTGCTTCTGAAAACAAATGGTCTTTAAGGTTGGCTTTCCCCCACCCACCCTTATTTCTTGTTTAATTAAGTGAAAATCTCATTTCTGTGCTATACACAGCATATAATTATTTAAACTGATTTTCCCTACTGTTGTTCTTCATGGAGCTAAATTATGATTGTAAACTTTGCTGATTAGTACCCTGGTAATGGCAGTGACAGCACTAGCTTCTCTGTCAGAGATTCTGGAAGAAAAGCTCCAGAAAGAAGCTTTTGGCTCTAAATATTAACTCAGATTTTCTAGATTGGCTTGCCAAAAAAATACAATTAAAAAAAAAAAAAAAGAAAAGAAATTACAAATGTACACTACGCTTTCGTGCCATTTTGGGTACAGAAGAGTTTTTAATAACTAAAACACAAACAAATAGGCTAAGCAACTAGCTTTTGTGCATTCCTGAACTGTCATCATTACTTTCACTCATGGAAAATATGACTCAGAAAAGCAACAAAACAAAAGGAAAAAAAACCACAACAGAAAACCAAAACAAAACAAACTGAGAAAGCTAGTGCAAACCCAAAATGATAATCATTAAGCAACACAGCAAAATATTTCATTTTTTCTTTTTTTCTCATTTTTTTTTTTTTTTTTTTTTTTTTGGTGTACAATGGAATGTGTCTATGCAACCTCCCTCAGAATAACTTCACAGAACAGTTAATTACAGTCACTTATAAGTATTTGCACAGACATTCCTAACTACACCGAGACTTACAGAAAATTCTGATATACATCTGGTGTAATAGCATAAGGAAAAACTAGTTTTAAAAAAATACATAAGAAAGTTAATTTGCATTGTTGCAAGTGTTGCGAAGTAACAAAACTGTCAAGTAATGTAAAACAAGTAACAAGTAGTATCCAGAACCAATTACTGACTAGTTTTTTTTTTTTTAAAAAAAAGCACACCCCCTCCCCCCAACCAAAACTGTTAGAACAGAAAGATCACGCTTTAAGGTTTTTTCTGGTGTTTGTGTTTTTTTAAACAAATCTTTGTGTCAGAAGCCCATTTCTACAAAAACAGCACTATTCCATTATTGTATTAAGTAAACTGTTGCTCTCACCTGTATTAAAGGTTAGCATCATTTCTGTACATGTAAAATTATTGCTTTTTTGAAAAATATATTTAGCATGCTAGGTTTTTTTTTTCTTTTAATCCATTTCCTGCCTTTACAAAATGTTACAATTTAAAAAAAAAACAAACTAGTAAAGCTTTTGCAAAAATTTTCACAGAACATTTTCTTTCAAGGCAGCAGTTAACTTTTGATAATGCATAAAATTATATGTGCAAATTCTGAAACTCTCAGAAATATTACCATCACACATAGTGTCACAGCAATAAGAAAAGAAAATATTTATATCTGTGGAATACATTTTTAATTGCTTACACTGCATGGTTTAACAACCTGTTATGTGCCACAACCCCACCTTGAAAACTTGCAGTTAAAGAGTTACTGTAGAAGAGGTATATAAAGCTTTTTTTTTTTTCTCTTTTTTCCTAACACCACCAGTGATCACCAAGTACAAGACATGACACATTTATATGAACATTAACCTGCCACCACAAAAGAAGTTCCTCGTCTTTCCAAAACGTCACCGGGCCCAAGGAGGAGCGGCAGCCGGGCTACAGGAGCAGAGAGTACCTTACGGGCCCAGGGCTGCCTGAACTTGTTCAGTGACACCTTTTCTCTTCTAAACATACAGATCAGCGACGTTAGACAGCTGAGCGTTTTATTATTTCTAATTTTTTTTTAAAACGTGAAGACTTCCTTTGTGATCAGGTCGAAGAAATAGCCCTGTTACAAAAAAAAAAAAGGTCCTGAGAGTAAAACACAGAAGACTTTTTTTTCTTAGTGTTCGACTAGCTTTTCTTTTCCAAAGCAGAATAGAAGCTTTTCTCTGGAAGTGTTTCAATTTCCATATTCACATACTATTAATGGTGCGCAGTCAAGAACAAGAGCACTAGAAATGCAAGTGGTCCCCAAACTGTAATGAAACAAACCGTTGCAGAATGACGGTCTTTCTCTTTAGTCCCTTTAATCCTTCATCAAGCATTGCTTTCTCAGCACCGAATGCCACCTTTTCCCCGCACCCCTCATTCTTCCTCTCTCTGTTGGTGTTTTTTTTTTTTTTAATTTGCTTTTCAGCATGACAGGCAGTGGCAGTTTCATTAATTAATACTTCTCCAGCCCTCGAATCCACTGCTGTTTTTCAAACGTATCAAATAGTCATTGTGAGCATCAGGGAGGTTTTTGTTACAGTGCTTAACTTCTTCATGCTGTCCAAATCACATAAAGTTTAATTTTTCCAGTGTCTCAAACTTCTCTTGATTAATATAGATGCCTTGTGCTGCCACAGTGCTTGCCAACTCCACTGTTTATTATAAAGGAAATAAGGAACCATGGGACTGATTAGTACGTCAATTTATATATATCTTGTGTAGCATCTTCATTTATTTTAAAATGATTAACAGCGCAGAGGCACCCCCCTCCTCGCAGAGCGCTGCTTTCAGTCCCGCGCAGCGGCTCCGGGCGAGGCGATGGCTGGCAGCAGGGAGGCTGCTCCGCAGTCACCGGGGCACAGGGCGGCTGCGCGGGGGTCTGCCGGCGCTGCCCGTCGGGGCGGGGGCTCCATCGCCGGGGCTCTAGGTTCCCTTCCGGAGAGGCAGCGTGTGGGCGACCTCCGCACCGCCGTGGTCCCTCCCCTGCAAGAAGGACGACACAGGGAAAAGCTCATTCTCGCCTCTGCTCCCATGCGCAACCCTCCAGCAAGCCCTGCTGGCCCCCGTTACCCTTTATTAGCATCACCCACGTTCACTTTGGCCCACCACGTCATAAGTTTTTGGGGGTTTTTTTCATCACCTCCAGCAAGACAAAGTGTGTCAGGCCCATACAAAGTCCCTGACGGACTAGAAGAGCAAGTAATAGTGTCTGATGGAGCCGTTCAGGGAAGGCTGAGGATAAGGAGGGGAAGGAGAGGCCGCCAGAAAGCAGAATTTTGAGCTAGCTGAAAGGGATTCACAACTAGATCAGCATTTAAAAAAGGCTGAAGTTTGAGGTCACAGAGGCAGCTAAAAGAAGAAAAACTGAATTCTTGCACAGGTCTGTCAAATGCTAAGGCAGCTTTTTTCCTCCTCCTTGTCATCTTCCTTTTATTTTTTTAGCCAATTTTCATGCATAATTACCGTGTTGAAAAAAATAGCAGGGATATTCTAAAATCAAGTGAAATTAAAGATAACATCATGAATAAGTGGAAGCCTGCAGCTCCCAAGAAAAGCTTTAAAATGACATTTAGAACATCACTGTCGGAACAATGCAGTTTACAATCCTGATCCTAAAACAACATGGCAAGATTAATCTTACATAAATGCATTATCCTTAAGCTAAAGTCTTGATGAAGTGAAACAGACCATTTTAAATTAATGCAACATAAAATACGGCACCCATGTAAAATCCAAGCAAGTTTCAAGCTGTGCCCATGGCAGCCCTCGAAATAGCTAAAGAAAGCCCAGCTCTGGTTGACATAATGTATTAAGTGCATCTCTTTTGTTAATAGATTTAGAAAATTCCTAATTAAACTTGGCCCGAGATTCATGACATTTACCAGTCAAAGTTTGGTTTAAGTCGGAAAGATTTGCAACAAAATTAAAGAAAAAAAAAGCTGCTGTACAGACGGCAGTATATTTGAAATGTAGGAAACAGTAACTGAATGAGAGATGTGATAAAACTTCCTTAGTTGGATGCTGAATTTCCTGCAGTAAACCAAGAAAGATGCTTTACATTTTTGCGCGGCTGCATCACGCCTGAGAGACAGAGCCACAATTCCAGGAGGAGGCATTCATCATTAAAATGTCTCGTATCGAACCGGCTCTGCGTACACGGGGGAGTGCGGCAGGGCTTTGCCGAGCCGGGGGAGGAGGGAGGGAGGGGAGGAAGGAAAGGAGGGGGTGGCAGGCACCTCGCCCCAGTTTCCCTGGGTAAGAACTGGAAAAAAAAGTGTAATTAGGGGTGCTTTTTTGGGATGGATAGCCTGCGGGGTGCTGGGTGGCAGAGGTGTGCCCTGAGGGTCCAGGCACCGATGAAAGGGGTAATCCACCCTCCTCTCACCTGGCAGGGCAGCACAGAGGGGCCAGGGGTGGGTGGGTGGCTGGCTGGCTGGACCCCTCTGTTATGTTCCCGGTTTCACCAGGAAACAGAATCTGAGCTTCACCTGTGCCGAAACCCAGCCAGCAGCTCACCCCCTCGTACTCGCAGTGGCCCGAGGGGGCTGTCAGGTTTTGATCCGGCTGATGCACAGCTGGATCGAGTTCTTCCTGGAGTGAAACGTTTACTGTTTTAAAAAGCAGGCTTTCTTCACTTTCAGCATTTCAAAGGGGAAAATCAAGCACATCTCTTTTTTAAAGTGAAGCTCATAGCTTCCATGCCAAAACCTGCTTTCATACCAACTTCTAGGGCTTTTCACAGGAAAAAAATCAGTTTGCGTACGTGTTAATATATTGGAGACAGATTATTGCACGAAATTGAAATCAACTGCCACGATAGGTTTGGAGCACAGGCACCACTTCAGTTTGCTGGCAAACGGAAAGATCTGGGACAAGAACTCCAGCTGCTAATCCTGTCTATAACGCTGATAAACTAAGGGCCATACAGTACAAGCACATTACTCAGACGCTGGTACAGCAGCCTCCATGATTCCTTGATTGTTTGCATTATAATCTCCATATGTATGAACGAGACAAATTAGGTTGCCATTTATTTGTTCATTATCTATTATTTTGATTAATGGAATTCTTGTTCTCAGAATAACTATTTAAAAATAACATTTGCAATAATGAGGACTGAACTATTAATCATGATCTTTAGCAGAAACTCTGTTAAGGAACTGGGGCAAGACATTTCATATGAACAAATGTCATAAATAGGACTTATAACAGACAGTGCTAAAATTTCAAATGCAAAAAAAGCCAACCAATCAACCAACAAACCTGCCAAACTCAGTAACCAACAGTTCAAATAACTTTCTAATCTGGTGGTTTGTTGTTTGGTTTTTTTTCTCTTCTCTTTCTCTCCAAAGTTGCTTTAGGACAAGCAGGGCTGTAGTGTTGCTGGACCATAAAAACATTATAGAGGTAACAGATGCCCCGAGCCTCTCCCCTAAGCTCCTTTACAATATACGTGTGTGTATATATATAGAGAGAGTGTTTTCTCAATGGTTCTTTCCCACCTTTCTATCCCACAAATTCGGACTATTCAAGTACTGAAGAAATATTTTAAAATACTTACAGTGGAGAAAATTAAGGCTTATAGACCCCTTAATGAAGGTGGTTTACCACTATCACACAGGACCTACTGCACACCTCTCTTTTCAGTGAATGAGGCCCAAGAACTGTGGTATCCACAGCTCTTGGACAGAAAAGGACCATCACTGTCTTCTGGCATGGGGAAAACTTCAGCCAGAGGTATTCACGATACCAACCATTCTTTTTTTTTTCCTGGGCTATAGCTTTTGCTTGATTTTCTGTGAGTAAAAGGGAGTTTTTCCAGAGAGGGCAAAGGTTGGCATTTTTGGGGTTTTGCCTGTTTTCCTCGCACAAAAGGCAGAAAACTCGGTGTCTCTGGCTCCAGCACTGCAAATATGCTTCACATATATATATATATATATATACACTCTCAATTAGACAGAACTCTCATTACTAGGAGTAGATTATGCATTTTAAACACCCAATTACATGTCCCTTAAAATTTTTAGAGCATATTGTTTGACACAGCACTGATAGAGGATAAACTATATTCCTACAGCGGGCCAAGTTTTTATATGTTTTTAAAAACGCAGCAGAAGTAGTTAAACACAAGGCATATGTATTAGAAATTGCTACCACTGCTGTCACCATGTTACAAAAGCAGGCTAGAGACTGACTCCTGTGTCACTCAACGCACTTGGGAATTGGGCTTCTGGCTGCAACGCTGCAGCATCAGGCAGTGTCGCAGAAATGACCCCGTGCTTCAGGAGAGCTTTTCTTTGAGAGCTGCAGCAGCTTTGAGATACACATGGTCGCAGGGACCTTTCTGAAGCGGAGTCAGCTTTTGTCTTGCCGTGTATAAAGTGCTCCCCGAATTCATGCCTACTAAAACAGGTCTTTGGACGTTGCTTAGTGTATTCCAAATTAAGATACATATTCATTGTGGATAAGCAAGCTTAATTATGGATATATTGGGATATTTAGCATTTATAAAAATATTCAGAATATTCAGTATGTTTAATATGGCAGCATTTCAAGAGAATCTATGTGACTTTGCACACATTGTATTGACTTGGGGTATGTAATGAGCATTTTTTGTCCTTCAGACAAAGAAGAGTAGGAGATATTCAGGAGTTCATGAGAAATTCATTTGACTTCAAATGTCCTCCTTTATTTTTATAAAGCATTCAGGTAGAAGTAAGAAACCACAGTTAAGTAATGGTATGAAGGAAATTAACATCTTATTTCCTACATTTTGTTTATATTTCATTGGTGCTGATAACAAAGCATGAAACACAGCCCAGTGCTAGTATTATCAAAACTGGGTGTGTACGGTCTTCTTTACACGCCCCTATAGGTGGCCTACTTTTCAGTGCTGCTGAACACCTGCATCTCCTCTTGGTGGTTCACTACCCTAAAGTAGGTTTCCTATTTAGGCACCTAAATATAGATTTAGCTGGCTCACTTTTGAAAAAGCCTGGCTGAAGACCCTATTTTTAACATGTGGAATTAGAATTATTCTGTGAGAAAACTGCCGTATTATATATGTAACTGTTGTAAGCTACTGTGCTGGGGGATTTTAAAAGCCCTACCTAACACTCCTTCATAAAGGAAACCTTTAGAGATGATCTTCTGGTTGACTACTGAAGGGAATGGGGGAACTGTGAAATACTAATGTTAATATTTTTACTCTTTAGTAGACTACTCAAGGGAAGATATTTTACCTGTGAGGAGGAAACATTATGTAAAGTGAATCATTTCCACTTAACATTAAAAAAAAACCCTTTCATTCTTAAGCTACTGCACGTGGTAACTATTGTTCCTTGCTCGGAGCATGTGCATGGCACTTCTGTAACTTGAACTGACTTTACACCATAAACTCATGAATAGATCTGTCCCCAATTAAGAAATGAAATGAAGACACGTAGTGACAATGTTTAAAGTGGGAAATCGTAACGTTACCAGAATGCTGCAGGCATCGTTCTCACTGCAAGCTCATTTCCGCGCTTCTAAAGGCCCCTACAGCTGCAGGTAGAAATGAGCACATTCCGTCTCTAATGCCCAGGCACTGCGCAGGTGGAGTCCGCTGGGGGAGCGCAAAGACTGCTCGCCATGAGAACGAGCAAAACGGCAGACAAGTGAATAATCCTAACCGACACAGACGCTGACAAACTGAGACAAAGGCTGATACCGAGGAGCAAACAAGACAAAAGAAAGGGAACTATCTCCTGGAGAACTGATCATACCACAGCTTCTATGGAAGAAATACTGACTGGCAAGAGACAAAGCGACTCATGAAGCTAACCTCTACCCAGTGTTCTGCTGTATTGAGAGATGTTGTAATTTAATAAAATACTTTGAAGACAGATTGACACGGACTGAGACTGCTACAGCAAACTACATTTGCTGTGGAAGAAGTTAGTCAATAAATTTTGGCATGGAAGTAGTTTACAAAGACAAGCTTATGAGTAAATTTATTGTGCAGCAATATAACCCGAATTACAAAAAGCGTCCAGATGCGGACTGAGCTGCCACATCGCTTTTTGGATAGATAGGGCCATTTCAGAATTTTTTGGAAATGTATTTACAACTTCGACCTTACAATGGTCTTCTAGAGGAAAAAAGCCCAGACGCCTTCAGAATCTGATCTCAACCACACATGAGATAAAACCATGAGCATGAGAAGATGAAAGAGCATTTCGAAGATGCTTAGGTTTACTAAATGTACATTACTAAACCGATCAAAACCAAAGACTAGTTGAGCTAGTTTGCAGAGCTGCAGCGTTTCATTCTTTCTACCAAAAGGTATGTCCTTGCACAATTCTACTAGATAAGCATCACAAGCCAAGCACTTTCACCTAGTTCTCCAGCTATAGCATAACTTTGCTGCTACTGTCCCACAAAAGCAAAGCAAACATTGCCCACAACCACAACTACTGAAGCGCTGTGCCATCTCCAAAACTTCAAGAGGAGAGTTGGACACTCCTACGGCCTGATGGTACTCAGATATTCCTGCGGCAGCGGTTGGGTTCCCCATGTAGTCTTTGGGCCAGAAAGATGCAAGTGCAACAGAGAAGGCACTAAGAGTCTCCATAAAGGGTGCAGTGTATGAACCACATGATGTGGTGGTGCCCGGTGAGGATATTTAGTGAGGAAGTAGAAACCAACTCCTAAACTTCACAAAGGTGGGCCTAGCATTGAAATGTATTCTCTAAGCATGGCTGAAGCCATCTGTAATCATCTAGTAAGAGACAGGAGGACAGGAAAAGTGCTGTAGTCAGAATTAAACTAAAAACGTGGATGAAAGGAAAAGTAAGTGATGCTGGAGCCAGTTTCACAATGAAAGAAAATTGCCCTTGAGAAGGTGTGCCCTGAAACCCACCTGCCAAGCTGGAAGACGGAGTGGGAAGGTCCAGGTTATGACACTGGTCTTTAAAGACGTAAGATACACAGAAGAAATTCAGCTTAATGGTTTTCTAAATAACAGCTTTGTCATGTGTAATTCAGAGCACCAAAAAGTGTTTGTTATGACAGGAAACTCTGTTTACTAGAAACAGGAAAGCACACCGTCACACAGAGTCCCCAGAAACTGGAGGATGAGAGCCTTTTAAAGGCCAGGTACTGGATATCAGGGTACAAACACTCTTCAGAAAAAACACAGACCAAGAGCTAATTGTATTGTTGCAGCAGAAAATGTGTTAGTTGTAAAACCAAATTACTTCTAGGAATTCTTTATGTTCCACCTCACTATTACATATCACTGCGCATTACAGAGTTCCCTATCCCACCCAGTCCCCAGTAAGCCGGTAACATGTTTATTTAAACACTGTCTACCTGCTCTGCAATTAACTGACTCTCTACATAACAGACTTTGATAAAACGCTTAAAAAATTTAAGAGCTAAAAATCAAGCAACACCGTTATTATTTATACATGTTATAAACCAGTCAGCACTTCAGCGGTGAGTATCACTGTGCAACTTTTTCCCAGCTACCACATTAAAAACCAAACATCCAATTAATTGTAAAACATACTTGTTTTGGGGCATCTGCAGAGGTGGTGTGAACTTCAGTACCTCGGAGTCCATTAGACTCAAATACCACTGTGGGAACAAGGGGGCTTGTTAACAGATGAACATTCAAGCTTCGTTAGTGTGTGTACATTATTTGAGACCATTACAGATTAACCACGTTCAAAAAAAGACACCAGCTACTAGCCTGTGGCCGGAAAATACCAATTTACCGTAACACTTACTGTAAGAGAGTGTGCTAATGGCAGCCTAGGGCCACTGCCCTTTTTAATTCAGACTTCGGCGCTGAAGAAAGCAATCACTGACAACATTAATTATCAGTGTATGTGTAAAGGGACCCTCTTCTTGCATTACTTACCATTTGGCCTCTGTCATTTTCCATCAGACTGGCTTATGTATGCATCATTCACACTTTTCAGGAGGAAACCGCGGCTCTCACTGTCTCGTGCAATGCTCAGGAAGCCTCTCGACACCGGTGGCTTCAAGCCTCCTACAGCCTCAACCACAGACCGTGGCAGGTTAAAAACGGCTGGTAGGGATTTCCCATTTTAGGGCTGACCGGTCTGCGGAAAAATCTCGTTTCCCGCAAAAATGTTCCTGTCAACAGCAACGATGAGGCAAAACAAAGCCTTATGTTGTGCTGAAAGGGGTACTTTGATTTCAATTTGTGCTGGTGGCAACGGAATTCATTAGCATACTCATTTCTGAGTACCCTACTCTCTAATTAAAATAAAACATTTGCAAACAGACTTATCTTAAATGCATTGCAATTTTATGGAGTTCGGGCGGGGATCAGGTAAGCAATATCCGGAGAACAAGAGCAATAGTCATAAAAATAAAAAACCTGTCTATTAGATTTAGGTACTGGAATTACTTAGGTTAGCATGGTATGTGAAATGTAATTCTTGGCATTTTGTTAGCCAGATCCGAACGCAGGCAGGCGGGAAAGGGAGAAAGCAAGAGTGAGCGTGAAAAGGTACCTGCGTGGGACCTCTGATGAGTCCTGAGGTGGCTGGGTTGGGTAAAGCATTTTCCACATTCTCTGCAGACGCAGTCTCCTTGGCGTGTTTGTGTCCTGAGCATCCCTGTAGTAGGGAGGGAGGGAGGGAGGAGGGGGTGGGAGGGAGAGGAGAGAGGAAAGTTGAGAAGAAAACATTATGCCAGAAGAAAACATCATTAGTATGTCTAATGTGTCATTATGTGAGGCTACCTTCAGGCCCTGGATGACAACTGTCAGCCTTCATCTAGGCACTGGCTGACAGGCCAGGCACACACAGGACTGCAAGAATGCATAAATTACATTGAATTAAAAAATGCTCCCCATGATGTGCCCGCACCAGGACTGGCATGTCAGGTGTGCGCTTTTCAGAGCAGCTGGATCCACTTCTCAGCCATCACCCAGCTTTGTCAAGCAGTACATCAGGCAAATCAAAGTGACTCCAGCGTGGCGGAGACAAGTCACATGGATAATAGGAAGTGAGTAGGACCAGAGCCCGACTGTCCCCGCCGGGCGGCAATACCTCAGAGACAAATTCAGAGCGAGCGGAGCCATCACAGACTGATCAAACCTTTCGCCCCTGCCTACCTGCCTGCCGGTGCTGCTTTGACCCCGGACCTCTGAGGCACAGACGAAAGACATCTGTGAATGAAAGTGTCATTCCGGACATTTTGAGCTGGTAGCAGTGCAGCAGCCTTCCCCCAGCCCTGGGTAAACATGTTTTCTAGGCCATTAGCATTTGTGGAAAACCGCTCAAACCTCTCCTTTTTCTCCAAAGGTCAGTTTACAGCATCTGACTTAAAGGGCTGGTCTTTGTCTTTTTGCTGCTGATCACAAAAGACACGTTTGACTTTTATTGGGCTTTTCTATTATTTAAAAAAAAAAAAACACATAAGTTTCAACATCATATTTTCTATTTTGGTAAAACGCTCTCCTCAGAAGGAAAGAGTTGATGTTTCCATTTGCCACTGGAATACTTCGGCTTTTAAAGAAATTCTCAGGAACTTGTCAGCAGAAGTGAGGTTTCAGCTTTTCTTTCAATTTTTCCCCCTTGTTACAGCATTTAAAAAGAATAAAATTGTGAACAAAAGAGCAGCAACAAAACCACCCCTAGAATTGAAAAATCAACTGCAGGTTGCCAGAGGGCTCATCTGAAATACAGATGTTGTACCTGAAAATGAATTGAAAAGAAGACGGGATGCCGGTACAGAACCAAGCATCCTGAGATGGTTTTTACCACAGTATATACTGAAAAGAAATGTCTGGCTGCAAAAAAAAACCCAAAACCTCCACTCACAAATTGTTTTCTCTTCTTCTAATAGCACCTCCTGCAGATGGCAGCACAGTCTGTATAATGTAGCTGAACATGCTGATGCCCAACAATTAAGTTCCTGACAGTCAAATACGAGATCATCATTTAGGGGCAAATCCAGATCACGTACACCCACAAACATAAAAAGAAACAAAAATAAACAAAATCACATAAATTTCAAGGACAGCTTCACTATACCATACTGAGACGAATTTGCCTTGTGAGGCAGTCAATATTGAAGGAGATTTTCTGGTCCGTTACTAGTGTTTTCCCTTCACTGGCCAGAACTACAGCTGCAAGCTCGAAAGCAAAGCTGAGTGAAGAACGCTGAGGGACCAGACGTGGCCTTTGCCAGATCGCTGTGCTGGCCATTGGACAGGCAGGGACAGGTAGCCCAGGGCTCTGCTACTGGCAGAGCAGCTCCTGTGGAGCCTGGGAGACCTGGGTTCCTCAGGTGGACTTCTGCCACCTCTGTAAAAACATTTAATCTCTCTATATCCCAAGCCTCCCTCTGTGGAAGGTGAATACGCTTGTCTCAGCAGCCATTATGGGACCGATCTGACAGCCTTCATCAAAGCACTGCTCCCACTTGCGCCGTGCACAAGGGAAGGTTGAGGATGCTATTGCAAGCCAATGCATCCTGTACAAACGCCGAAGGTGAAAGGGTTAGGGCTTTCCTCTAACCCCTCCTTGGAACTCACTTTATAGGATTTAAAAAGCAGGCAGAAAAAAACAGATTGCTTCCAGGTATATTTGCCATTGTTGCGTTTCCTAAGGAGCACCATAAGGCTTTTGATAGTTGAGAGGTTTGAGCGATGGGCGTTGCTGCCGCAAGCCAATACCCCTATGAGTCATCACTTGGATTATTCTATATGTGAACAAAAGGCGGTGGATGACTACAGGTGTTAGCAAATTAAGGTAAACGAACATGACTATCTGAACAGGAGCTCTTGCAAAACCGATGCTCAAAGCTGGTCTCAAAGGAGCCCCAGGAAAAGAGCGCATCTGCTGCCGAAACCCATTCTTTCCTAATAGGGTGATTCATGTAAATACCATGAATAAAATAAATAATGACCATTAAATATAACAATAAGATTCTCTCTACAAGCATTTGAGAAGATTGGGCAGTGTGAAACAAACCTAGACTAAGCACAGCAAGCTTTGCGTTTGGAGCTGTATCACAACAGCACGCACAACAACTCTCTTCTCCAAGGACACACTGGAGTATTAAGACAAATGTAAAAGAAAGGATCCAAGAAATAAATCCAGCCACTTCAAAGGAAATTGAACACTAAAATATTCTAGTGTGATCCAAGATGAGGTTGTACACCAAACACCCAAGTAAAGTCTACTGGGAACATTCAACTGGAAAAAAAAAAACGGCAAATAGTATAACTAAGTGAGATTTTTGGTTGTCCTTTATGTCATGATTGCCATATTCACGTTGCCATATTAAGACTAAATTGTATGATGCATACTGACTCAGAGGGCTCAGTCTAGGGCTGTGTGTTATTTCAGGCAAGGTTCATTTACCTTCCTCTTATCTCAGTCAGTAGGATCTCGCTCCTTTTGCCTGCAGCAGCTTTTTTATTTTAGTGCTATGAAAAACAGCCATCATGCCAATTGGTTTGGAGAACCATCAACAACCTGGAAGTTGTATATAAAATGAAGACAAGCTACATAAAACAAAGGAGGTTTCAAATTCTGAAAACTTGATTGCTGTAAAACAAGGCCAAGTGCAACGTCCTGCATGTGGGTCGGGGCAATCCCATGCACAAGTAAAGGCTGGGCGGAGAATGGATGGAGAGCAGCCCTGAGGAAAAGGACTTGGGAGTGCTGGTGGATGAGAAGCTCAACATGAGCCAGCAATGTGCGCTGGCAGCCCAGAAAGCCAACCGTATCCTGGGCTGTATCAAAAGGAGCGTGGCCAGCAGGTCAAGGGAAGTGATTCTGCCCCTCTACTCTGCTCTCGTGAGACCCCACCTGGAATACTGAGTTCAGCTCTGGAGTCCCCAGCACAAGGAGGACATGGAGCTACTGGAACGAGTCCAGAGGAGGGCCATGAAGATGATCCGAGGGCTGGAGCACCTCTGCTACGAAGACAGGCTGAGAGAGTTGGAACTGTTCAGCCTGGAGAAGAGAAGGCTCCGGGGTGATCTTATAGCAGCTTTCCAGTACCTAAAGGGGGCCTACAGGAAAGCTGGAGAGGGACTTTTTACAAGGGCATGTAGTGATAGGACAAGGGGCAATGGATTTAAACTGAAAGAGGGCAGATTTAGGTTAGATATAAGAAAAATATTCTTTACATTGAGGGTGGTGGGGTATTGGAACAGGTTGCCCACAGAAGCTGTGGATGCCCCATCCCTGGAGGTGTTCAAGGCCAGGTTGGATGAGGCTTTGGGCAACCTGGTGTAGTGGAGGATTTCCCTGCCCATGGCAGGGCAGTTGGAACTAGATGATCTTTGAGGTCCCTTCCAACCCTAACCATTCTATGATTCTAAAACACTTGGCATGAAAGAAGAAATTTCAAAGCAGAGATGGGCACTACATAACTTACAGTTAAAGCATCTCTAGAAACCACTACCCACCAAAAACATTTTGGCAATAAAATCCCTCTTTTACAAAGCCGGTAAATTAAGATCTCCTTGGAAACCCTGCCCCTACTTAACTTTGCCCCAACGGCCCTCATGGTTTTTCTGGTGCCTGCATTCACTAAGTCAGCTTCTAGTCCCTGGCTTCTACTATTTCCCTCCATCCCTCTTAACACAGCTGGGAGCTCACTGGATCAGTAAGATTTCTCTGAGCAGGTTGACACAACATAGTATTAAATAACATCAAGGAGGGCATCCACATAAAGGTACGCACCCCAAGTTGATAGTGGAACAATTAACTGGTATTTAGAGCAGGAAGCAGCCAGGGAGACACTTCAGACAACATTTCTAGGCACTGGGATGGCAAAAGCAAAGTTGGCTGGACAAAAACAGGAACACAGACCCTGCAGTTTTAGAAACCAAGCATGTCCTCCTCGCTTCCTTAACAAAAACAAGGAGCCTGATGCCAGTTACAGTCATCATGCAGCCTCTAACTACCTGTGTAACAATCTACTAAACAGTAGTAACAGTCTGCTCCTACACAGCACTACTTTTTAGATGACTGAGTAAAACTAACAATGGAGTGGCTGAAAGGTGCACTTCATGGACTATTTCAGACAGATTCTGCCTTTCCTGTCTTCTCCAAAAGGCCATCAACAAAGACCTGACCAAACACTATGGCTCCTTCCTTGCCTCACAGCTGCCAGAGCGGTTAACTTGCACACACTTGCTGGGCAGTAGACCATAGCCGTCCTTAGACTACCAGCTTCCAAATGTCCTGGTTTTCATTCCACCCGCAAAATGCAGTCACAAGCTCCATTTCACATGTGCTTTTGACAAAACAGAGCATTATGTCAGGTGAGGACACTAGAACACTGGTCTTGAACGCATGCTCTTTCCATGCAGAGTTCAGTTCTTGCACAACTTGGTAAACCAAGAGAAGTATACAAAAAAAAAAGGGATAGTTTACAAACGGTGAGAGCTGGGACTATGGTTCCCATTCTGCACCCCTACACACGCACACCCCCATCTCAAGAGTAATAAATCAGTGTGATTTTCAGTTTCCACTGAGACAGACTAATTCTGGCAGATCATCAAAACGATATGGTTTCAAATGCAAATACATAGGTTTCTTTTTTTCCTTCTTTTTACGTGGCAGTTGACTGGCAAGAGACTGGAGGAGAGCTCCGATACTTTTTCAGTGCCTGAACTTTTAAACTGGCTATTTGCACAACTGCCTTTCCTGCTTATGTGAATAAGCAGGCTCATATTCAGCCCTACCTCTTTTTAACTATAAACATACAAATAGATCAAAAGAATCATTTGAAAAATAGGGTAGCAGTCTTTGATATGGACACGGAAGATCTTAAGACTTTTGTCAAGAAAGACAAAGGACACTGACAAGTGATTATCTCTCTCTGTTGTTGGAAGACTTGTTTGCAGACAAAATTGAACAAAACCTCCAAAATAACATCACAGAAAAGCCCCAGAGGATGTTTATTTTGCCCGAAGCAAAAAGATGATGATGTGTGCCAGCACCAGCATATCAGGGGGATCTTCGTGTGACAGCACATCTGTGTAACTTTAGCCTGCTTGAAGCGAGGGGACAAAGGAACAGTAACACGCCAGGTGGAACCAGATACATATAACCTGTGACAGAAATGTCACACCGTGCATGAGGGGGGTTGCTGCAACGTTAGAGATCGGTAAACAAACCTATTCAAGCCTATCCAGAAACAATAAAAACAATGAACTTGTAATCCCAACCGTTAAAGGGAAAGAAGGAAGAAACTGTGAAACACTGTGTCGTGGCTCCGAATGAAGCAGGAACAAGCAAGCCATGTCCTCAGCTACAGAAGGGCTTACGAAAATCTTACCTGCGTGATCCAGGACAGGGCTGTTGGCACCGCAGGTTTGGTACAACGAAGCAAGGTCCTTTGGAATGTATGTTTTAAAGATATTTAAAACGTCCAAACGTTTCTCATGCCCGTCTGATCCCAGATCCTGTTTGCTGGAGTGTAAAGCCGGAGAAAGTCCCGCGGTGCTAGGCTGGGGCTGCAGCAGTGGACTCGCTCGTGCTACCGCTGTGCAGTTTGCCAATGTCCTCATCTCATTCCCAACCTTCACGTGAGACTCCCTCTGAGGCACCAATGGCTCTTCGTGTTTAGTGTACTGCTCACTTTTACACAGAGGATGATACTGTGGCGGGGGGGGGAATTTGGCCTTCATGGACTCTGACACACAGTGCTTACCTGGAGGGGCAAAACTAGAACCTCCTTGGGGAACCATGTACTTTTCCACTTGCTTACTGTTGGTGGGCTGTGTGCTAGGCCTGGATATGACCGTCTGAGTAGGTGTTACACTTCTGCTATAGCCTCCCATTTGCATAAGTTTGGAATTTGCTTCGTATTTACTTTTTTGTTGTGCTGCTACGCTGTACTGCTCCTGGGAATGGTTTAACTTGGGCTGTCTGTACCCATCCAGACCTGATGATAAGCGTGGACCACAGTGGCCAAAGGCATGACCGTCCTTTGACTGATGTGTACTCCCAGACTTGGCAGTCATCCCGACAGAAAGAGAGCTGCTTTTGGATCCTGGCAATGCACTTGGCACTTGAGTGCGTGTAAATCTGGCAACAGGCAAAGGCTGGCATTCCTTACCTCCAAGAACAGGAGGGGGACCAGTACGCCCACTCCTCGCCAGAAAGACCAGGTTGTTTTTAATACTCTTGAATCCGTTCTGTTGAACCCAAGGGGGGACCATCGAGTTACAACTGATTTTGTGCAAAATTCTTTTGTGCATCCACAGAACTTCAGGGTAGTAGGTCTTGTGACTGCAGAAAGGACACGGGTAGACCATTAAAGCCGCCTGCAAGGATGTATTCAGATGTTTATTGCATGAATTATCCCTTGTTGATTTTTCACTCAAATCGAGTAGAGCTACCTCTTGAATTTCAGCACCTTTTTCTATACAAGGATACTCCCTGTTTAAGTCTAGCAAATTTTCTCTAGTGCGACCAGTCTGCACTTCAAGTGACATTTTCAAGTCCATGACTACGTTTGAAGATGTCTGGCCCACACCTGAAGCAAAGCTAGCAACGCGACTGGAGCAAGGAAGCCCTTGGCTGTGGTGAAATGCTGGCATCTTTATGTCTGCAGAACTTTTTATATCTTGGTATTTCAAAAATGGTTCCTTGATGACGCTCTCCGGTGCTGACACCAGGGGAGGAATCTCTGTTTTAGATTCCCTGGCCTTGTTTTCTCTGGCATTGCAGCTTCCCAGCTTCGGGAGTTCACCCAACTGAGATGTTACCATCGGGGTTTCCTCTTCAGAAAAGTTGCAGTGGTATGGCTTTTCATCTGAATGGGACAAAGAAAAGAACATCACTGTCATCTTATGAAGAAAGGACCCCAAAAGACAGAGCAAAATTCAAGATTAGAGTGAGATAGCAGGAGAAAAAGTAACTTTGGTATCAGTATCATAATGACATGCTACAGGCTAAACGTACTATATAAGCAAGAAAATCTTTAAACAAGACGTAACAGTTCAATTTATTTTTAAAGATGACTGCGACGTCTGGATAAACTCTCTAACACTGCATGCTCACGACGTTCTGAAGAACGAACAATTCAATAATATACCCATGTTAAAATTCTGGAACTGTGAGAAAAATAAACAAATATGCAATCATTTAATGCTTTAACGAAAGCAAAGATAATGGAGCCAGATAAGACTGACTTAGTTAAAGGTCTGTCAGTGCTTCCATTACATGCCTCTATTTTCAAAGGGTTTATAACTCAGCAATAAAAATTGGCTCCACACGGAAACCGAGCATACAAGCAAGGTACAGCATACAGAATAAATTGCCCACTTAAGAGGGACTTTTGCAGTGGCCAAGAGTAAAAGATGAGTTATAGAGGACGTAAATTCAGACTTTTCCACCCGTTAGTTTAAAGCAGATACATTTTTTTTAAACATATTTTTACGTTTGAGTCAAACTTTACAAAAATTTTATGACTGCTCAATCCACTGAGAGATAAAGAATTCAACATTTTCAGCCATTTAGATTACAGAATTCAAACCAGACGTTCAATTCTTCCTATTTTCTTTTTTGCTTCTCAGCTCTCCAGTGTAAATTTATCTACCTAACACATGTCCTGGAAAGGGAACATACTGGGCAGTAATTAAAGCCATTTAGGGGGAAAGAGAAGAGCAGGATTTGTTTTGCTGGGAGCATGGCTACCTCTGCCCACTCTCCCGACGTCGATCTCTCAGAGTCGCTGAATCCCTCCAAATCAGTTCACAAACCAGTTCCACAGAGATTTTCATCACAGCAGTAATGCTTACTGCACTGAATCCATTTAACATGTAACGGAATTGAATCATCTGACAAACTTTCAGTTTCAATTAACACGCAGTTAATGAGCCACTGCCAGGCAAGTGTAAGGAGACCATGCTCCATCTAAAATGTCACCAGTCCAAAGTGATCACCACATTTGTAGGAGGGGTGAGAATGGGAAAGGAGCGAACTGCTCTAGAGCTGCATATCCTCTCGCATCAACTCATAAAAGCCAGCACTTCAGAAAAATCAAGTGCTGTTCGTTAGTGCAGCGCAATGCCACAGGCATTATTCTGCACGGTGCAATGGAAGAAGCGTGTCTTCGGCTGGAGTTTCACTGCAAATAAAGTCTACTTAGCCTCGCATTCAATTCAAGCAAATAATTCTTTAGCTTTTGTTTAATTCGAGGTAATTAGCTTAAAAACAACACATAGAGTCACAGCCTTGCAGGGATGAGCGCTCACTCTGCTAAGATTATCTTCCTTTCAAACTCTCTAAGCAGGTAAATTCAGGGAGGAAAAAACCCCACAACCGATAAACTTGTTTTTCCTGTGTTGCAGGGGGCAAGGCTTTGGGAAAGCACATGTCCAGCACTACTAGCCAAATTTACAGTTTGAAACAAAGACACTGCATGGAGCAGTGAAATCTGACTCTGCACATCTGTGTTATTTTCGAAGCACATCTGTCAAAGCCCAAAATATTTGTGCTCTTAAATAAGATTTTAAGGCTTCTCTTTACGATCACAAGGAGTGGCTCCTTTGATCACAGTAGTAAATAATAAAGCAAAGCAAAACCAAATCATTCGGTCCTAGCAGTACTCAGCAGAGACTGAGCCGACCTACGGGCTACGCTGAGCAGAGCGGGCAGGGGAGGGAGGTTGGGACCACTGCCAGTCCCGCTCTTCGCGGCTGAGGAGCTGGGGGGCTCCAGCCGCACCTCGGTCCACCTGCGGAGCCGTGACAAAGGCGTGCATCGGCAGACGTCTGCGAGTCCCAGGTTGCTCTGCGTACTCACACACGCCTTGATGCTTTCTGGCAGGGTCAAAATCTACGTACCGCGCTGTTTCGGCAAAGAGGACAAAGTGGAACGGACTGTGAGGTGGCACGGGTTACGTCTGGGCTTGGTCTTTAGGTCTAGACTGTTCAGTTTAGGTCTGTACTTGGGATGGGGGAGAGGAGGAGGAGGAAGCGGGGAGCGGAGGAGGAAGAAGTACAGAAACAGACCACAGTCTTGTGCACCCCGATAACCACAGGTATAAAGCCTGGGACGGCAAACCTAGAGGTGGCTACCGTCCTTTCAGCTCTATTGCTTTAGTGCAGCCATCAAAGAAACAGGGATTTTCCAGGTGGAAAATGCAGCACAGACTAGGAAACTGATGAAGGCATTTCTGAGGTGTATCTAGGCCTGCAGTTGCCACAATGCTGAAGGCATACACTGACAGAACAATACACGAAAATTTGTAAGGTTTTTACAAAACACAGCTTCTAACATCTCTTTGTAGCGTCTTGCTAGATTCCATTCCTCTGATGTCTCACACAAACAGTACTGAACATACTAGGAATAATTTTAAAAGCTTAGATCAAGAGTCTCAATAGCAGTATTTGTGTTAATTGCTCAAGCTGCACTTCTGGAAAAAAAAAAAGTCCCAAAATAAAACTACACTCTTACCCTCCCTTCCCCAAGATTTGGACGGACACACTTTCCACCTGCAAGCCAACTCATACTTCTTCACCAGCACAAAGCACAGCCTAAGCTTTTCCCCTAGCCCCATTCTGCTCTCCACCAAGGACCCGAAACTCCAGACACCGACACCCAGGCTTGAAACGCTGCCACGTGCCATCCTCCCTGTCCTGGGTGGTGGTCCAGGCTGGGCTGTGAGCAGGTAGCAAAAGCCAGGGGGGAAGAGGGGATGTAGGCAAGAGCAAGAGGAGACGGTACGTGACCCAATAACACAGGCAGAGCCTTTTCAGAAAAACAGATTAAATTTATTTCTGCCTGCTCCCAGTCGCTTGCCCCAGCTGAAAAGGGGTACTAACAATCCTTTTAAATCACTGGTATAAAATATTGCTCTAACCAGTGTAGTGCAGGCATTACTGTCACAAGAAACTTTCGAGATTTTATTATGGCCAGGTCAAAGCAAAAAGCCATGAATGGGATGCCTTTTGCATGATCTCCAAGGACTATAACTCACATTCCCCATTGAAAGAGTTCTTGGCTAAGCATGCTCTCACTTTTTATCCTACAGTCCCTGTCATCTCCTCATGTTTGTCTCAATTCCTTTGTTTCTTACCCAAAACAGCCATTTACCTGTTGAACTCAAGAGTGAGAAAGGTCCTTTTAACCAAACTCCTGAAGTGTTACAGTTTTTCTGTGTCATGGATACCCGGCCAACAGCTGACACGGACGAATTTTAAGGGTGCCCAGCTAGGAGGTGGCTGCTGATGCCATCGCATGCTGTTGGTTTGGCCATAGCTTCCAACATCGGTGGCATCACAGACCAGAAGAGAGCAAAGCAAGACAGCAGGGAACACTTAACTATATGAGAAGCCATGGTCTAGAAACATAGGAACATTCAGTGATTTGACCAGTTCTTCAGAAATATATCTAATTGCCATCACTTAGTTATGTATCTTACACAGGCAGATAAAAGTGACTCCCCTTCTCCACACACACACACACACACATACACATCTCCCTCTTCTCTCTTTCTCCCCCACATGCATAAACTCCACTTGTTTCCTCCCCGGTTCTGTTTCTCCACAGAAACTAATTTCAGAACAGGCCACGCAGCTGTTTTAATTCACAAGGCTTCCTATAAAGTAAACCAGGCTACAAGCCTGAGGACAATGAAACCGTCATTTCTATTCACAAGAGCAGAACTGGCTAGAAATTGGTCCCTTTTCTGGCTAGCATCACAGCACTAGGAGTTGAAGGGAAAGGAGCAGATGTGATGTGTTTGACTTTTAGTAAACATTTGATAGTGATTTGCACTTTTGAGATGAATGCTGTGGCTCGGTTTGAAAACTGGCTGCAAATAAATCATGATAAAAGCAAAGAATAACATTGGAAGAAGGTGCAATATTGCAAAGACTTGTATTAGGTCCTATTTCACTTGGTATTTTCTTTAATGATCTAGAAGAGACTCTAGACAGTATGCTGACTTAAATCTCCAGGAAATTCCGCATTTGGAGGAGCTGCAAAAGTAACGGGGACAAGGAAAAAATGTGCAGGGACTTAGAAAGAATAGAAATGCAGTCTGAAAATAATCAAATGAGATTCATTCTGGAAAAAATGCAGGCTAAGACAAGCGAAGGGAATCAATCCAAAAAAGCCCATGCAGTGGGAGGGCAAAATCTGAGAAGCAGCAATGTTGAAAATAACAGATGTTACAATAGACTGCAAGTTAAATACGAATGCAGTAGGTGAGGTTCTTCAGCTTAGTTTTCACAAATGTAAGTATGCATTATAAAAATAAAATTACCCCTTTGAAGAAGACACTTACATGATGGCTATGCTCCTCGTGTTATTTTAGATATACATACAAACACACACATCCCCCCCTCCCCGCAAATAACAGGCACTATGTAAAAGCCCACAGTAAGCAAAATACAATGGGACATGGAAGGGATAAAATGGCAAAAAGCAGGTTTGCAGCAGAAAATCCAAGTCTTTTAGCCTGTGAAAGGAAGGTGCAACAAACAATACTCCATACCTCCAGAGTATCTGTGCAGATCTGCAAATACAGACAAGTCAGAAGACATTCAGAGAACCGCAACAGAAAAGTAACCGACCAGAAAATAAGGATGAAGAGTTAAGTGTCCCTCACGTGGCTGAGGGAAGATGGGAGGGTGACGGGCCAACGCCTGCAGCCTCCCCAAGAGCACCAAGCTCCAAAAGAGAGAATTATCTCATCCTGAGCACTGGAATCTATCACAACAATCAGATGCAACTGCATGCAGGAAAACTCATGATGAACAGAAAAAAAAAAAAATCAATTATGTGTATTTGCAAATTGCAGAA